TAGGGGTTGACATGCGGTGAAAATACCAATAAAAGATGTCCCGCAAAAAACAAAAACTGACGTGTCCGAGCGATTCTCTATTAATCGCCTAACACCTGAGAAAACCTGGGTGGGAAGTTTTTCGTGCCCCACCCTGTATAGGCCAGACATTGGGGATTTTTACCTGGAAAAAACTTGGAAAGTTTTGAAATTTTGCAGGTTTTCAGGGTTGGGTGTGTAGATAACTAAAATTCACAAAATGGACAATCCGAGAATTGCCGCCGGCGCCGCCATCTTGACAATATGGCCGCCAAAAACGTTTTTTCGCATTTCTCTCCAAATTATGCGTTTTTCGAGAAAATATGTAGGGAACAAAATTTAAGAGGAGGAAAAGATGAAAGATGACTTGGACTTGCTGCTTGATATTTGTTTGTCGAATGAAGACGAATAAAATGGAACTGACGTTGATCCCGAAATAGAGACAAACATATTCACCAGTGAAAGCGTCGATATAACCGAACTATGTACGTTGGGCCTTTACAGATACAAAACGTAATTTCATTTCCAATGATTGAAATTAATTGATCATAGATTGATAACATGAGTTGATTGATGAATTAATTGGATAGAAGATACGCTTCTGTTTCATGACAAAATTGGATAAAGTCCTAAAAAAGTAGTTTTAAGGAACCCTACTCCTACTATACTACTACTTACTTCAGAAAATCGTCTCCAAATAAAACTCACGCGAAGCGTTAGACTTTACTACGACTTTTCTATTTAAACGGTTAACTTTGCGAAATATGCTAATGACATTTTTTGTATGAAATTTCCTCCTCTTCAATTTTGTTCGCCACATATTTTTTTTCGAAAAACGCATAATTTGGAGAGAAATGCGGGAGCCGTTTTTGACGGCCATCTTGTCAAGATGGCCGCGCAGGCAGAAATTCTCGCATTGTGCATTTTGTGAATTTTAGTTCTGCACACCCAAACTTACAAACCTGCCAAATTTCAACACTTCCCAAGTATTTTCCAGGTAAAAATCCCCAATGACTGGCCTATAGGTATAGGTAAGTAACATACTAGAGCAGGAGCCTCAGTGGCAAAATCACACTGAAGAACCTCCTCCTCAATGCAAAAAGCCTCATGCTCAAAATTTTTTTTAGGACCTTTTCAATGTCTTTATTCTCAAGCCTCTAATGCTTCGAAGAAGTACACTAAATAACTTTAATCCATATAATGGTCCCGGCCTAGCCTTCAAGGCTCTACTATATTTAAAGACAGAACATACTTCCACTTCCCATGTGTATTATTTGCATGCCAGTCGAAATTTTGGTAATAGTAAGCTATATTTTTCTTATATGCATCAAACAGGGCAATATATAAGGTTGGCACATGGTACAGTGCGCAAAACCAGTCCCTGTATCGTATCCAAGACCCGCGATCATGACGCTTCTACCGAAAACACTACAGAGTACGGCGCTAGCACAAGATCGCATATCATGACAAATGAGAATGGAAGAACCTGTAGTATTTATGCATTCAACCTCAAGAAACGGTGACTTAACTGGTGGTATTGATGGTGTTGTATACATATATTTTAGCGGAAAGTTAAGTGTCTGTTTCTTGCTACCATTAAAACTACTCCTATTCTGCGTGAGCCAGTCAACGACGCTGGACTAAGAATCCTGTAACATCCTGCTCAGTTGTCAATGATAATTTGATACCTCAAGAGCAGTTATGTCATCGTCAAATATTTTGGTATTGTAACAAAATAGACCGATCTCCTATTACCTGGACTGCGCGCGTCGCTTGTAGGCTGCAGGTGAGCGTCCAATGAGAACCCAGTTTGTTACAGGCTTGCGACATATTCTTATTCAGGGGCCAGTTCAGAATGAATCATTCCTTCTTTGTTTGTAATGTTTAATTCGACAAAGAGCAAACAAATACTTTACATATTACTTGAACTCACCGCAGTGTCGTTTGAGGTTATGTTAGATTATACTTGACATATTCCTTGGCAATTTCATTGAGCGATGTTACCCAATGAAACATTTATCAAAATAAAAGTGCAAACGATGTTCATCCACTTTAAAGCTCTTCTTTTGTCTAATTTAAGGCGTTGTAAAATACTTGACACTATATCACTTCTTTATGCCCGTATCCACCAATGTCAAAAAACAACATTTATTTTTTAACTTGCAGTTAAGCAGTCATTTTCATATCCACCAACAAAATTTTGCACTTAACCGGGTGTTAAATATAACTGGCGAATTTTGGCCAGTTAAAAAAGATAACCGGCAATTATTTTGACAAAATGTCTACTCATTGAGTTTTCAAATGTCAAAATATAATTTTTTTCAGTTTTTTATGAAATACTAGATCTTTGTCTGTGTGAGATCAGATCTCTAATCCTATTCATAATTGTTGGACAATGGAAAATGAACTATTCGACGATGATGTAGACATCCTTATTGATATAGTGCAGGATGGGTTTCCTAGAAATCAGTGTGAAAGGCCCAATTACTTTGAAGATATGTCTGATTAGTGGCAACAGCAATCTTGAACAATATAGCTCGATGAATGGGAGAACAACTGCCGCCAGTCCCTGAAGATATTGATGCAGGATGCAGATATCTTAGACTATATTGACTAAGGAAATATTTCAGAGATGCCCGCCGAAAATAATAATCCACTTTTAATTAATCATAGGCAGACAACAGATCATTGAAAACTTCATCAATGTTGGTCATCCCCTCGGTCATTTCATAGTCTTGTCTTATTGTGTCTTTTTTTTTAGGTATTCAATATTCAAATGTTTATTTATTCAAATTAAATTATAGATTTTTCAAATTGTTGAACTTTTTCTTATTCAACCACAAATTAACATGACCACCACAAACGAAAATAAAAAATATGTCATTAGTGACATTTTTGGCTGGGTTGCCAGAATGTGCCGGAAGATAACTGGGACTTTCCTAATTACATAACAAAAACTGATGGTGGATACGATATTAAAGTAAACTACCAGTTAGTGTTGACTTACAGTTACGTAACAAATGATTAGGGTGCTTATTGGTGGATACAGGCATTAATGTTATAATGTTCGATTTGTATTGTCTACATTTGTTCTGCAACAATACAATCTGGCTACACTGCAGCCCCCAGTTGCGCGCGCATGTCATTTTTTATTACTTTCTAACTTGTATTTATTACAATTAAGCTCCCTTTTTTTAATCATGCGAGATAGGTCTATTACATTGTGCCGACACGGAAAATATGCCAACACCACTGTGCGCGAAAAGCAAGCGAATATTTAGGAATTGGTTCCTATTAATGTGTGATTTAAAAAATCAAGAATGCTAGAGAGATTTCTTAAGTGATTGATTATCTATACAAAGCGTGTAGTTTGTAAATTGTAGTCATAGTTTAAAAAAGGTAGGTACCTAAATATCGCATGGACCTATGGAGTTGAGTAAAAGCGAAGTGATTATTAGTGGATATTGTGAACTCAATAAGCTTAGAGATTAGAGATGTTGTTATCAGTAAATAGTGAAATTTTTGCCGAGATAACTAGTGAGTTAGTTTGGGCTAATAAGGGGGATAATGAGTGATCAGTAGAATTAGATCGTACAGTTGAGTAATATTGACGTTGAACGGTTAAGAGTTTAGCTGGAAGAATATTTCTCAATTTGCCTTACAAGCAAAAGAGATTATGGATTTTTGAGTTAATTTGGAATAGCTGCTTCAGCTTCAGTGATATTGGTCGTCATTACCCGCGGAATAGATAAATGGTCTATGTGCCATTCACCTGAGTTTTTCCATCTTCCTTCACAAACTCCTACAATCTCTGTATATTCTTGTAATTGCCTCGATGTGGCCTTGATGGATGATATTGTTCACCTTTTCCGCCCGAAACATACATTTACACGTTTCATGTTGCAATTTTATTTATGACTGGCCCAGAAATTCTTAGCACCCTCTGACCACTTCAGACCTGCTTGGGATCGGGGCATAATAATTTAGGCCTCAGTGCCAGTATTTAGGCCTCGGTGCCAGTCTTTAGGCCACAATGCCAGTATTTTTATGTACTGCTAGGGGTCATAAATGCAGTAACGCAACCAACAATACAAATTGTCAATGGTATCAATTTCCTGGATGCGCATGCGTGGGGCAACCTAGTCTATAAACTTTGACGTAGTTGGCACAATTTCGTCGGAGGTTATTCTGCAACCGACCATCTTGTGATAAAGACCAGAAAAGTACTTGTTCGTAACGAATCGTGATGTTCATCATGTGATAAAACGAACAATTTGTATTTCATCTGTTTAATCTATTTCATCCTGGACCATATACGAATCCTTAATAAAATAAATGAAGTAAAAACTTTACCATAAATGAATGTTATGTATTGTTTTTCCAGTCACGCTGATAATTTTTCCCGAGGAGAATGAAGTAATTTCCGGTTTCCTTCCTCATCTTACTTAGTATTAAAAACCATTGGGGCAATCTGGTTCGATTAGATATTTTATTTGGAGCTAATGTGACTGTATAAGTAACAAAAATGCAGTTTTATATCTGATTTGACATTAATTTGTATGTATTAACTGCACCTAACTACCCAAACAGGTCAAAAACGATATGGTGGATTTGTAATATATTTAGAAAATGTCTCAAATTGTACTTTTCTTAATAACAGTATAAATAAAAAATAGGAAATATTTTCTGTATTGTTTTACTTTCCTTTAAATAGAGGCTTCCCATGCGATAGGAAAAAAAACAACGCTCGGAAAATGTACCTACCTATTTCGCTGTGATATCTTTCCTGACGAATGTGAGTTCAGGTCAGCAGTTGAGTTTGAGTTGCGGAAAGACACTTTCTGGTTACAAGTTGTGAACATGAATTTTTCTATATAACAAAGCTATTAACCATTTAAAAATTTGGTTACAGTGCATGATTTTAAACAATAGCTGGTACCTCAGTATTCACCTAGGAACTATTGAAGAAATCAAACCAGAAATTACACCTATAAACTTCTTTATTATCAAAATAGTAATTGGAATGTGCCTCTTTACCGAAAAGGAAAACATTGACAGAACAAAAATTGATAAATTGGATTTAAGCTACTTATTCAATACATTAAGGCTAGATACCTACTAAGAGTAAATAATAAAAAGGCAAATGTAGATTTTTGTTGATCACAGCCAAACCTGTACCTGAAACTAAAGTTAAAAGAAAAAAGAATAATTATTTATTTACATTAAAAATTATTGATAACATTTTCAGGACTAAAATTTAATTAAAAACTAACATAAAATTTAAAAAAAAAATCGTTTGCAAAAATACCTGGCATCCATATTTAAAACTTCATTTAAAAAAATATAGTTGTTAAAAGTCTCTTAGTATAACAATTTTGGGCACAGACAATTTAAGATTTATTTTAAAATACCTACCTATTTAAAACATCCAAAGACAATATACATAAATATCATTAAAAAACTAATAAATTGCACAAGAAGATCAAAATAAAATAAAATATATATTACAAATAATGCAATTTTGGACCTTGGCTTCCACTATGAGGCATATTTGATAAACTTAAATATCTATCTATGTATTTTTTGTAATAATGAAACTTCTTGCCTGTAACTTAAAAAAATAAGAGATCCTTCAGTATTTCATTCCATTCTGTTCCTATGGATAATGTGCGTAAATTATTTCGGCCCAGAAAGTTTATAATTTAATTTAAATAGAATTATGTCAAATGTCCTCGAGTTGCGAGCCTACATTAGTCAATCTCTTAATCCCTGAAATGGACAGTTATTCTTAATCATTTAGGTGTCAAATGTAAGTTGAGTTTAAATGAAGGCATTAGGCAATTGGGTAATCGCTGTGTGTATTATTATATATTTATTTTGACCCTTGATGGATCTAAACACTTTGCAGATTGGATATTTACTATGTCAGATATATTACATATGACAAATAATTATTTTCATCAGAAAGCAGATATTTTTACACGAAACCTGTATCAAAAAATTTTACACCATTATTATTCGCTTGCCCTCCATGCCTAATTTTAATTACCTATTTGAAAAAACAATTATTTAAAGTATATATTAACACATTGAGCTTCTTAAATATTGACGAATGATGCCATCACTAGTCAACCTGTGGTTCACTAATTTTGGAACCAATAAAATTAATTTAGGGTCCATTTTTTGTTATGTAAGAACATAATATTATGAAATTTCGTGAAAATGCAAAAGTTACAAAATAGGTTTGTTCGGACTTAGTTCAGAATCAGTTCTGAACTGATCTGCGCTTGCGCATTTATTCATATAGAACATAAATAAACAAATGCGCATGCATAGTTCGATTCAGAACTGATTCTGAACTAAGTCCGAACAAACCTATTAAAGAAATTATTCAAAATGTTGAAAAAGTAGTTCTACTACCTAATTTAACTTATGACTTTACATACCAAAAATTGGAGACTTTTTAAAAGTTTTCACAATGCTGGATATTACTATAAACAAATATTTGCCTTAAATTTATTTTTAATTGGTAAATTGTTTAAACAATTATTAAAGCATTATGGAAAACTTCCAAAATGATAAATCTATACATCCTCTAAAAATATAAATATCATCAGAGACAGTCTAATAAAAATCAGCAGGTACAAATATATATTTCACAAAAATCTAAACGCGCACACAAGTCAAAATTACAAAAAAAAAACATGAAATATTAAATATAGGTTTTTTTTATTTTTTGCAGTGTACCTTCGTTGGTTATATTTAAGTTCTTCAGGGATCCTAGATTATCCTTCTTTGGCGGAAGTGGGTCAGAAGACACATTTAAGACATCCAAATTAACGTTCTTCGGCCTGGCTAAAAAACTATTCTGATTCACGTTTAATCTGGAATAAAAACATTTCTATTAGAAGTAAATTGAATCTTTCCAAATAAGGACATTCAATATAGTTTAAAAATCTCACAACAGCGATTAGTATTCTAGCATATCGCCATTATTATTAGTTTGTGCCAGTGGGAACTTCTGATATTTTGCAGTTACACAAACAATATTCAATTTAGCAAAGAGACCAGCCAATGGTTTGACTAATGATTTAAAGCACAGAGGTTTTTTTATCCTTTCTTTATTAACGAACGAGTTCATGCCAATAATAAATAAGCTATTTGAAGCAAATGAACATTGAAAGATACCTGTTATCTATGTAGCTCTTCTTCAGCCATATAAACTTGTCGATATCCTTCTAATCATAAGGGTCATACAGTCTTCTGGTAAACCCCTATGAGTTAACCAGAAATCTTAGAGTGCTGTTGCTGTTAGTTCAATTTTACTGATATCAAGACAATCCAACTGTTAACCAGCTCATAGGTCCTTTCACCCTTTACAGCATATGTCAACCTGCCCCTTATACAGTGACCGCCAAAAAGTTTGCAACAAATGGGAAAATATTTTATTATTAAGATATCAAAAAAAATGTTACGTGGTATCAATTCAGCATACCCATCAACAAAAAAAATCACTGTGACAGATGTCATGTGACCACAGTCATGGCGGAAAATTTAAAAAGTTCGCCTTAAATATGTGAAAAGTGGGGTTAGACGAACAGAAATCGAAAAATTGTAGAGAGAAAAGTGGTTCAGGATCCAATTTTACGTCCATGTGTCAATTTTTAAAAGGGTACAAGGATTTTTAATAAATATAAATTTTTTGGCCTGTTTTCTGGTAATTTGAAAAATATCGAAAACATTTCACAAAAATATTGGCTTGATTAAATTTAGAAAAGAAGTATTGGATCATTTAGAAAGATTTCATGATAATTCTAAATTTGTTATTCCAAATTTTTGTTTTCTGTAGGTCATTGCAACAAGATCAGAGTGGTCTGAAAATGAATTTTTGGTTTTTTACACTTTTTCGCGGGACAATTGAGCAGAATTACTGCACTGGATTTTTTTTTTTTTAGTTTCACTTTGAATTATGTGAACCAGACGGAAAGTTTTTGATATTTTTCAAATTACCAGAAAACAGGCCAAAAAATTGATATTTATTAAAAATCCTTGTACCCTTTTAAAAATTGACACATGGACGTAAAATCGGTTCCTGAACAACTTTTCTCTTTACAATTTTTCGATTTCTGGTCGTCTAACCCCAGTTTTCACATATTTAAGGTGAACTTTTTAAATTTGCCGCCATGACTGTGGTCACATGACATCTGTCACAGTGATTTTTTTTGTTGATGGGTATGCTGAATTGATCCCACGAAATATTTTTTTTGATATCTTAATAATAAAATATTTTCCCATTTGTTGCAAACTTTTTGGCGGTCACTGTTTAAAAAAAGAGACGAGAATCCGCTCTCTCTCGTCTCGAAGGTTCGATAGAAAATGAGTCTCTCGTCTCGACGATAGACCCTCGATACGAGACGAAAGAGCTCTTCTCTCGTCTCATCTCTCGTGAGTTTTGACGCATAGTAAGTCAATTCCGTCATCGAAATCGAGAAAATGCAAAAAATGTATTCTCGCTCAAGTATAAAAATGTAATATTACCCATAATACCTTAGCATAATACCCAAAGGTTCAGGAAAATATTGAAATTTTTCAGTAGTGTAGACATTTACGTGGTATTTCATTTTAACAAAGGCTTCGTAATAATCAAGCCTATTCTATAAGGAAAATAGTTTCAATAAAATCAACGATTTTGTTTTTTTTGATATATAAGTATATTATATAACAAGTGTGGTAACTAGGCTGTTACCGCACACGAGAGAAATTTCTCTGAGGGTATTACAGTATACAGTATTATATACAGTATTTTATCTACAACCGTGCGGTGAAGAATATTCGAAAGAAGTTTAAAAAATTACAGAAAATAAAATTGATTCTAGGCTGGCTGTTCCTCACGTTTGACAGTAGACGAGTAGAATTTTACTCGTGTCCTTCGGTCAACTTCACCGCACACTATGATGTGAAGTAACTTTACCGCACACTATGCGATAAAGTAGCTTTACCGCATAGTGTGCAGTTTAACTCACGCTCGTAGGTGAAATTATTATAGAGCCACTGGAAACATTTGAACTCGCCTAATCTTTTAAAAGCCAGAATGCTGTTGTTTTGATCTGGGGTCAACTTATTTTACATACAGTTTAGATAGAAAGTTATATGATACAAAATAAAACACTCTTTATTTAGTTATATTTTAAGAATTTAAAGGCAATATAACAATAAACTAATATTGCTCGCGAGAGCGAGATAGTTCGAGAGAACTCGAGAAATTCTCGACAAGAGAAAGCATTATCTGGTCTCGTCTCGGAACGATTTTTCGAGAGAAAATCGTTCTCTCGTCTCATCGAGATGAGACGAGACGAGACGAGACGAGACGAGAGGAGAGACGAGAAACGAGAAACGAGAATCTCTTGTCTCGGCGGCATCACTATATGGCGAGATAAGTAGACGAATTAGCTCGAACTAATTAGGGGGATAATCCGCGCGATTATTAGTAGATTGATTTGAGCTGATAAGTGGGAACAATTATTCAACTTTCATTGAATTTAGTACTGGTTTTAACACCGGAAAACAAGTCTCTTTTCCAACGTGTTGTTTTCGAAAATTAGAAAAGGTTTGAGAATTTTGACTATCAAGTTTCGAGAATTATATCTACTAGTAGAGTATTATAATATGGTAAATACTCGGCAGCAAAGCGCCGAAATCGACCAAGCTAATCAAATGTTGGCGGAATTCATGAAAAATATATATAGACAGGAAGGACAGGACCGACTCGCAGCACTTTCACAGCAACAACAAGATCGGAAACAGAAAGAAAAAAAAAACTAAAACAGAAACAGAGGCAAGAACAAGAAGCACACAAAGGCAGAGAGAAAGGAAAAAGGAAAATTTTAAGTTTCAGCGAGAACTTCAATTTCCAATCTCTGAGGAACGAACCAGACTCGAGAAAATCCTGAAAGGGTGAGATATTACATCCAAGAATGCACTAAAAGGAGTAGGTATGTGGAGGATGTTCGCATTGTTCGTCATGAAGTTGAAATCTTTCGCCAGGAAATGTCTCAGCTTAAATTTAAACCACCACCTTACGAATGTCAGACGTTATGGGCGATGTACAGGCGTTCGAGAATATTACAATTACTAATAAATGTTGGAGCTCTGATGGCATGGCTACGCTTAATTGTAGCATGAAGTGGCCCAACCTATTATAGAGACTCATCTACTAGCTTCCCAACTATGGTGCGCTGTGCGCTTGTTGCGTAGAGCATCGTTATGGGCAACTACACCGACGGCAGCTAAGAATAAAACCATAGAAAACTGTGGAATGTTTACAAGAATTTGAGACCTATATTATCCACCTCCTGATCAATTTGGCCTAACTGGAAGCAACAGTAGAAATGCGAAAACAATTAGCGGCCGAACATTTTATCGATAGAATTAGAGATATGGATGGATGTATAGAGAATGCTCCTCATAACCAAACCATCAAGTAGCATCAAAGCTACAATCATCCTTAGAAATTGAAACAGCCTATGCTAGTCATAGATCAGAGCCTGAATCAATATGAGAAGAACACGAACGAATAGGAGAATTGGAAACACAATAATCAATAAACTTCTAGAAGGTATACGAAAGGCTGTTATTAGAATAAAACGAGAAAACTTGAGAGGTGGCACATAATGCTAAGATCTGGCTCTCTTCCTGATGACTCTCAGTCTTCGATGGAGAGTTGCAACTTGCGGATTGGAGGCCTCGCTCTGCTGGTGCTGGATTGCATAGATTTAGATGTAACGAATTTTGCGATAATAAAACTCTGGCCCCTTCAAAATTAACCTTAGTATATTCGGCTTCCAGCGGTTGAGGCATTATATAGATTAATACATCAAATTTATCTAGAAAGAAAACTTCAAGGCAACATCGCCTATATCACCATCATCAATCAATTATGCATAATTAGTTGCCCTCATAGGTATACGTTTTAAATTAACGTTCAACAGTTTTTTAGAAAATGGACTGGTCTCTGTGCAATTTTTGACTAACCGGTATATTCCTTTAGATAAAGGAAATAGTAAAAATGACCTATCCGTTGCTTGACTTATGAATATGACACAAATGGGAAAAATTCCAAATCTCGGGAAGCACGCCAGATATGTGATACCATGCTCATCCATTCCCTGTGTAAGTAAAAATGTATGATACTTTTTTGGGGATACCATCAAGGCTAATTCTGTTTAGATATGGTACAGACATAGGATTTATAATGGCCATAGGTGCGAAGTACTTGTAGGTAAGAAGTATTTTAATAATTATTATATTATAGCTTTTCTGAGTTTAAGACGAGCAGACGAGTTTCTTAAAATGTCACCATCAGAATCGATTTTTTTTGCCAATTACACGTTATCATGACTGTTCGGGACACGATATGCGTAATCATATCTAGAGTTTCTTCCAGCCAAAAATTCAATGGATAAAACTCATAAATCAGTGATTGATGCCAATTAGATCAAAATGTTTCAGAATTGTTTATTATCATAATGCTTACCTGTCCAAATGATTACGTTGCTCAATAAAAGGTGTATTAGGATACTGCATGTAAAATTTTCTTGACACGCAGTATCCCCCCACAAAACCCACGAACATTCCTATCATAGCTGCTACTATAATGCCCCACCATAAGGTCCCTGTAGTAAATTCGTTTTTTCTTATTTGATTACATCCAGTGCGAACATCAGCATTAATATCGTTACTACAATCATCTGGTTCTGAGTGGCGATTTTCGATTTGCAGGGAAAGCTCCTTAACACTTGAACTTGGTTCTTCGTCGATTGAGTTACTCGTTATAGTATCATCTATTTCTTTTTTAGGTTCTTTTTCGTTTGTTGATACTTTGCATTTGGAATTGTCTCCTCTAGCTACATCTTGGACAAGGTATCTGAAGGAAGTGACAGCATCTACGCTAACACACAAATTTCTAAGTTGATCCCAGGCACAATGTGGATCACGAAGTTCTATGCATTCACTAAAAAATAATAAAAGGAATTCTATTAAGTAAGCTTACAATGATGCAATCCTAGTGAAACAAGCGTGATGTGTATAAAGTATCTATTTTGAGTAGATACCTATATAGTTAGTGCTAAAAAACTATGACTAAGCTTTTTAGGACAACTACTCAGAATAGTTTTTGCTTCTACCGATTTCTAGCATTGGCAGTAGGTATAGATGAAAAGAACTAACCTGCAGGTAGCCATAAATTTGCAGTGATTTATTGTGACCAATTTAATTTCCCCTTTGCTGACTGCAACCACTCTTCCATACCCCACTGCTAACGTTATCTGCTTGACAGCGGTACCTTTTGGAAATACTTCGTTGTCGGATATTACAAAAGCTTTTGACGATTGTTCAGTAGCTAGGTTGACTACTTTGAGAATTTTGCCATCATCTGAAAAAAAGATAGTTATGTTATAGCTAGGTACCTTAATGTTTATATATTTATTTTTTGAGAATATGTAATCAAATAATTAGATGGACAATGATTTATTGAAATATTAGACGATAAAGGTCTGGGCACACATGACCGCACCGAGTCCGCACCGAGCCCGCACCGAGACACGGCCGTGTCTCGGTGAATAGTTGTACCGTGTTTTCTTATGTCGTAGTCTTCACATCTACGCACCGTGCCCGCGCCGAGCCCGAGTGACACCACCGCACCGCGTCCGTACCGTGCGAGATTAGTTTTGTTTAATTTTTGACGGGCACGGTGCGTTGCAGAAATGGAGAAACTGATAGAAGAAGTCAAAAAGTATCCTGTATTGTACGACCAAAGAAATGAAAAATATAGGAATGCTGAATATAAGGAAAGGGTATGGACTTTAATTGCTACGCATTTAGAAATAAAGGGTAAGTCAAAATACATATGTTTTATTTTCAATTAAGAATCCTGTTAAAATAGGTTGAAATTGATTATACCTACTATACAGGGTGAATCTGAAAGTGAGGTTTTATTTTCAAAAGGATATATATCTCCACCAAAATAAGACTCCATATAAAATATTTTGTTTACATTTCCTCACAAATAAAAACCGGGTACAATTTTTATCGTAGTACGACCGTCATGCGGCCGTGTGTTGGAAATGTGTGGCTTTTACCTTATTGAGCGACACACTGCCGTGTTACTGCACGGACTCGGTGCGGGCTCGGTGCGGATACGGTGCGGTCATGTGTGTCCAGACCTTAAGAGTAAATTTTGGTGAAGAAAACAATAACGATAGCTCCTGGTATACATAAAATATCTTGTGTAGATAGATACCGTGTGATTACTAGGTATGACATGTATTTACATTAGGTGTGGTGTGGGTACAACTTAATGCCACATCTTAGTGCCTTAGAATAATATTGTCTGGCTGGCACCTTTCACATACAAATTGTATGCAAGATTTGACCCAAATAAAGCGCAAAAAATTGTGAAACGTTAAATTAGCCACAGCGCTATTTGACAAATAGCGGTTATAATGCGAGAAAAACCAAACCTTATATGCATACTAAAGAAATTCTATTCTAATATGCCCATTGTAACTTTCAAGAATAAACTTGAGAAGATAAAATGCAAGATAAGTATGTGAGTTGATCTCACTAAGTTTTTATCAGGTTTTTATTCTAATTTTATTTCATGCGAGTAGGTACCTACTCTTTCAGATTTACTTCAAATTTTATGCTTGAGTAATAGTAATAGGTATGCAATATTTGGTAATGAGAAAGATATTATCAACTATTATGTTTTCCTATTAACGTAGGTCTAGGTTTTCATTCTATAATATAAATTTACATGAAAAAATGAGGTTCTTAAGTCTACGAAAACAAAGAAGAAACATTTTTCAAGGCTACACGCGGCGTGATGTAGGTACATTGATATAATAAAATTAAACCTGCTACCAATAGTTCGCTATTCCAAGAAAATACATGACAGAGGATTAACTACTCATACGCAATCCTTAAAAATCAATCAACTTGAGTCCGCAGCATAAATTACCTTTTAAATTTTTTCTAGTAGCCATTTTAAGATGATGTGACCATTTTAAATGAATTTTTTCTTAATGGATAATGCTAAAGTGGTTCTAAGAACATGGCTTTGTTTTTTAAATAGTCAACTTTGGCGAGACAAATTTAGGTTTTTGAACGATTTTATGCTTGCCTTGCTTAGCGAGTGTTGACGTTAATAGATTAGAATGGAAATATTAACTATTTGGTTTACCTACCTGATATTTATTTTTAAAGTGTGGAAGAACAAGTGGTGAAATAGGGAATAGCTACTCACAAGGTTTTCACATAATATGCGCAGTGTTAAAACTTTTTTTCATAGACCCTTTAAACAAGCTGTCGATAGTGATAATTGAATTTTTTATTAGCTGTAAGGACAATTTCAATTGGCATAGCACAAACGAACAAAGAAGAATGCAACCAGATGTATTCCCTCAATCCAGTAATTGAATTCCGAAGAACCATTTTTAAGGCTATTTATTATTCAGTACATGATATTTCAGGTACCTAGGTAGGTATTTTATGAAAAGATAGACCAAATTTCTAACTTATTATCAAAATATCATAAACAGGAAGAGTCCTTTTAGCTTCTGCAGCAACTTTTATACAATTATTTTCCCATAGCTTTGCAGGAAATTCATTCATGGAAGTTATTTAGGAGAGAAGTCACTCTACTGAAATTATTTTCAATTTTCAGGCCACATTTTATCTATTTCTAAAGGTTTCTTTCTACTCAAATTATTCTTACCATTAACATTTGATTATTTCTCTGTGAATTGCCGATATAGGTATTCTTTATTTATGTATATGTGACAATTGTGACATAAATAAATGAATGAAAGTATTGTTACAATGCAACAAACCTGATTCCTTTGTCATTATTATAATATACAGGGTTGTCGTTATGTATGGAAACGGTCTGGTATTTCAGAATCGGCTTGAGAAAAATGTACAATATTTCCTACCTGGGGGTTTTTGGGAAAGCCCGATTCAATGCATCACAGTGTTTTTTTGAGAGAACGTGTCATATTATTACCTGAGTGCCTAGTGTGTTTTAGAACGCCTGGGGTATAATTAAGCAAGAGAAGCTGCGGTTCATTTGTCCTAGTTGTATGTAGACCTATTTGGATCACCATCCCAGGACTTGAAAGTATTGTTTTTTTTTTAGAATGCATCAGCAAGCGTTTAAGTTCTATTTTGTGTACTATTTCTCAAAAAATAATATTTATAGAAATAATTGTATTTATTTTAAATTTTTTTTAATGGTGGCCTTATTAAGAGCATAGTGATCCAAATAAGGCCAATGGCGAGCTTCTTCGTTTTACGCAAAAACCATCACTTATATAAAAAAATAAATAAATTGGTGTTAATATTTAAGTAATAGAAGCGAAACACTTCACATATGTATATGCTCGTGATTTTTGTTGGGTTTGGTGGATAACGTGAGGAAAAAAGTAAAACTTTTTAACGTAGCCTTATATGGGACAGGTACCTTATATATTTATGATTTTATAAATAACAGTGTTGCTAATTAGGCTCCAATTAATTATAATAGATAATACCTTTGGTACCACTGCTACTTGCACTGTTTTAAAGGTTACCTTAATTTAGATATTAAGTATTTGTAATAATTCTAATGTAGATAAACTGAATTTTGTCCGAATAAAGGATTGTTAAAAAAAAAATGGTGGTATTTGCAATGTTGCCAAGTTTACCGTTCCTAAGATACCGTTTGTAACTTGATTTTTTCAAATAGATGCCTTTCTTTATTTTTATTGTAATTCATTCAGCGTACCAACATAACTGAAACCCTAAATGTCAAACCTCCATTTGACTTGGTTTTCGAAATATGGCAACACAGCTTTCTTGTTGAAATGTATGGAAAAGATTATGATCAAAATTTAACAACAGTACATCTTGGTCAAACCAAATACTTTCAGCTGATAGATTTAGATTTTCGTTATTGAGAAATAGCTGCCGGAACCTAGGAATAATTTGACGTTGCAACAGAAGTGAATAGTTTTCAGTTCCTTCGATAAAGTGTGGTCCTATTATGCGATCTCCAAGGATCCCGCACCGAACATTAACTTTTTGTTGTCGTTGTGTGTATGTCGATAAACCTTGTAAATGTTTCGGATTTAGAGAGTGTTTCCCTGTTTGGATGCAGTTCATTGAAACTAGTTACCACATCAGCAAAACTTCGTTTTCTATCCCCATACCCAATAATCATTAAAATTTGTATTCGTTCGGTTTCACTCAAATGAGCCATTTTTTTAATAAAGTGTGTTGTACTCAATAAGTTACTTTTAACATTCGTAAAATGAGTCGAAACCATAACAACTTGTGCGATGGAACTAATCTATGACGTTATTTGACATAAAGCGCATTAATCAAATTCGACTCATTTTACGAATGTCAAAAGTAAACTTATTGAGTAGGTAAAGTCTGTCGATTTCAATCTGATACTCCAAAAAAATGTGAGCTGGTAGCTCTTTACATTAAAACGCCAATTTTCACCTGACGTCACACCTTTTTTGCCATAAGCTTCACCCCCTCGCTCCTCATACGGAAAGTGTCAGATTAAAAACGACGGACAATACAATACACTTTATTAAAAAATGGCTCATTTAAGTGAAACCGAACAAATACAAATTTTAATGATTATTGGGTATGGTGATAGAAAACGAAGTCTTGCTGATGTAGTAACTATTTTCAATGAACTGCATCCAAATAGAGAACCACTACCTAAATCAACTGTTTCCAAAATATTAACAAGGTTTATCGAAACTGGTAGCGTCAAAGATCGACCAAAACCTGGAAAACACATTTCTGCTACAGGAGAAGAAAATTCGATTAACGTTATGGTAGATGTGGAAAACAAAAAGTGCTCGATGCAGCAGTTATAGCATTAAATCACGACATGAGCAGATGAGCAATGAAAAAAAATAAGAAACAAGCTCATTTTCGACAATTCAGAATTCAATTACTGCAAGAATTAAATGAAGATGATTTTGACCGAAGAATTCAGTTTTGTGAAATAATGATGGATAGGATGAACCAGAATGGCGACATCAAAAATCAAATACTGTTTGCAGACGAAGCAACTTTTAGTCTGCATGGTGAGGTAAAACGGCATGATTGCCGATTTTGGTCAGACTCTAATCCGCACTGGATGATGGAGATACACACACAACGACCACAAAGTTACTGTTTGATGCGGGATCCTTGGAGATTGCATAATAGAGCCATACTTTATCGAAGGAAATTCAACAGCTGAAAACTATTTACTTCTGTTGCAACGTCAAATTATTCCTAGAGTCCGGCACCTATTTCCCAATAACGAAAATCCAAATCTACCAGCTGAAAGTATTTGATTTCAGCAAGATGGTGCGCCGCCTCATGATGGCCGTCATGTGCGTGATTATTTGAATCAATCCTTCCCTGGAAGATGGATAGGACGAAGAGCAGCAATTGAGTGTCCTGCTGGGTCTCCCGACATGACCCCCCTCGATTATTTTTTATGGGGACATGTTAAAAATAAAGTTTATGTGGACAGACCCCGAGATATAGAAGAACTGAAGGAAAAAATCAGAGATGAAGTTGGTAGCATACCAGGAGAAAAATTACTGAACACCTTACAAAATTTTGCTCAGCGAGTAGGTACAGGGTGGCCCGTTTAAGAGGGGCCTATACCTTATCTCGAAATCTACAAGGGCTGTAAAAAAAACCTAAATACAAAAGTTGTTTCTAATAAATTTATCTACAACTTTTTTGTATTGTTTATGTTGTCACTCTACTATATACAGGGTGGACAAATAAAATTTCATTTTTTTAAATGGAACACCCTATATTTTAATACATTTTTACATAGCTTTTTGAAAGGCAAATCCAACGATATACTAGTAACGAGTCTGTGATATACCGTTTCGAACTTATTAGCGATTATCTTCAGGCTTTGGGGTGATTTTAAACACATCATTGTTGTGTTACTCATAAACTTTTAAAACTTTTTTTTGCATGATATTTTTTATAAAATAATGCTCTTCTTCAGACCATAGTCAAATTTGAAATATTTGTTTAAAAAACGCGGAGTTGCCACGTTTCGCAAAATGTTACGCCAATCAAATGGGACCTCCTGTAAATTTTCGAGTTTTTGGATAGCCCTTTAAAAGACAAATTCAACGATATACTAGAAATGGGTCTGTGATGCACCGTTTCGGCTTGATTGGCAATTATCTTCAGTTCTAGCACAATATTTCATCTGTCCAAGTCGCCAGGTGAATAAAAAAAAGTCTATTTTCTGTCGGCCGTCTATTAACGTGCTTTATTAATGTATAAAAAATTGTTCCATAATGGCACCATTAATGCATAAAAAGCACTACTTCAGCTAATCTACTGCAAAATTAGATTTTTTTTTTTCATTCAACAGGGATGACATTGGATATTGTGTTAGAACTAAAGATAAACGCCAATTAGGCCGAAACGGTGCATCACAGATCCATGTCCAGTATATCGTTAAATTTGTCTTTTAAAGGGCTTTCCAAAAACTCGAAAATTTACAGGAAATCCCATTTAAAAAAACTGAAAAGCGTAACATTTTGCGAAACGTGGCAACACCGTGTATTCGAACAAATATTTCAAATTTAATTATGGTCTAAAGAAGAGCATTATTTTATAGAAAATATCATGCAGAAAAAAATTTAAAAAGTTTATGAGTAACGTAACAATAACTATTGAAAAATACCCCATATCCTGAAGATAATCGCCAATAAGTTCGAAACGGTATGTCACAGACACATGACCAGTAGATCGTTGAATTTGTCTTTCAAAAAGCTATGTAAAAATGTATTAAAATATAGGGTGTTCTATTAAAAAAAAAATGAAATTTTATTGGTCCACCCTGTATATAGTGGAGTGACAACAATAAAAATATGAAAAGGTTGTAGATAATTTTATTAGAAACAACTTTTGTATTTAAGTTTTTTTTACAGCCCTCGTAGATTTCGAGATAAGGTATAGGCCCCTCTTAAACGGGCCACCCTGTGAATGGTGAACACTTTGAGCACCTCATAAAGTAATAAAGTAAGGTTGTGTTCAAGTGTTGTTATTTGTTAATTTCACTCTTGTTAAATTTTGATCATTTTCGTTTCCATACATTACAATAAAGAAGCTGTGTTGCCACATTTCAAAAACTAACTAGAATGGAGGTTTGACATTTAGGGGTTTTAGTATCTAATGTTGGCACGCTGAATTGAATAGAATAAAAATAAAGAGGGTCATCCATTTAAAAAAAAAAAGTTACATACGGCATCTTAGAAACGGTAAACTTGGCAACATTGCAAAAACCTCCATTGAATCGGGCATTCCCAAAAACCCCCAGATAGGGAATACTTATTGTACATTTTGCCAAATCCTGTTCTGAAATACGACACTGTTTCCATACATTTCAACAAAAAAATCTGTGTTGCCATATTTTAAAAACCAAGTCAAATGGAGGTTTGACAGTCAGGGGTTTAGTAATGTTGGGACACTAAATTAATTGCAATAAAAATAAAGAGGGGCGTCCATTTTAAAAAATCAAGTTACATACGACATCTTAGAAACGGTAAACTTGGCAACATTGCAATTACCACCATTGAATCGGGCTTTCCCGAAAACCGCCAGGAAGGGAATGTTGTACATTTTTCTAAAGCCTGTTCTGAAATAGGAGACTGTTTCCGTTTCCATACATTTCAACAAAAAATCTGTGTTGCCATATTTCAAAAACCAAGTCAAATGGATGTTTGACATTTAGGGGTTTTGGTAATGTTGGGACACTGAATTAATTGCAATAAAAATAAAGAGGGGCATCCATTTAAAAAAATCAAGTTACATACGGCATCTTAGAAACGGTAAACTTGGCAACATTGCAATAACCACCATTGAATCGGGCATTCCCAAAAACCCCCAGGTAGGAAATATTGTACATTTTTTTTAGGCCGGTTCTGAAATATCACACCGTTTCCATACATAACGACAACCCTGTATATCGAGAGTTATAGAGATTCTAGTTGGTTGAAAGAAGTAAAATGATTTAAACATAATTATTGTTAGTAAATAAATACAACGGATACAATAGGTATTTATCACATAGGTATGGTCATGTGTATAATAAATAGGAATGAAAAATGCACTATGGTAAATGAAATAAAACCAATAAAACGTTAGTAGAATGAAGTTTTTGCACTCACCTGTTCCAATATAAATTACATCATACGGCAATGTCTTTCCGTTAACCGTTCTAACTTGAGGATCAACAGCGATAGCCGTAAACCTGTAATTTAAACTGACTCTAATCAAAATGGGTCTGCCATGGTAGGAAGGTACGGCTTTCTCCATGAGTGGGTGGGTTTTAATAAAATTCACATTGGCATCTGGTAGTATTCTGCTGTCTCTAACGCACTCGCCGGGTCGAGGATCTGGTATTTTGTTATCAGGAATTGGTAGCCAGTTGGCATTAATGCTCTCTTGATGTTTAAATGGTCCTTTGAAAACTTCTTGGATATCGTTCATTTGGAACGCGCAAATTGCTGACCCGCCAATTGCATTGTCAGGTGTTGTTAAGGCACCATAGATTATCTTACTAGTTTTTTCATTATAAATACCTTCTATGATTGTGCTGGTTGCCTCTGAAATTGATAAAACGCGTTCTCAATATTACCGAAACAAAACAAAAATTGACTAACAATAAACAAAATATTTCTCTCAGGGCCTATTTTTTTTGTTGTTGAAAAACTCAATTCATTCGAAGCTTGATCTTTTACAGCCTCGTTAAGTACCGCAAAAATTATTTTTATCGAAAGTGCCATTTCTTCAAAGAATGGAATAGTTTTCATGTGAATTGTCATTCTAGAATACATCTCATTTGAACGCATCACAAGAGCTAGGAACCATTAGGCAATTCAATCCATCTGTCAAAAAGGAAAATTCAATGTGGCGTGGCGGCCAAGCAAGTTTGTTTTGAATATGTTTTTATGCATATTTTAAATTATTTTGCATACAGTTTCGCTTACAACTTTGATTTTTATTATTTAATAAAATATTTGTTGACTAGTTTCCTAAACTATTAATTCGGGCAGAAACTAGATATTTTTTTGTGTTTTTTGGCCCATGTGTGGCCGCCACGCCATCTTGAATGTCACGTGGTTTGAATTGCCTAATTGAAGTAGTCAGGTTATTTTGGTTTAAAATTCACTAACCCTATCGAATTTGTATGAACTTAAAACCAGCTCGCATTCAGTTCACCTAAGGTACCATCTAAAAAACGAAGTGAATTAGATATACCTGACTACTTATTCGATTGGACCCAAAAAAAAATTGGCATATAAATATGTTTTAAAAAATTGTGGGCCTAAATAATTTAGATATAGGTTATTACCTATACCTACCTGATTTCTTTAGAGACGAATATCTTTTAATAACCAGATAATAAATGTATAAACGAAAAAACAAAATGTTGGCTTATCAAGAATCCCCATCAATTCTATCCATTAAACATCTTATGAATTTACTACCAATGTGAACTGAACAATAAACCAAAAGGAACGTCATTTTTCAAATAAGGCCTAATCTTCTCCGCCTAATTATAGGCAAATTTATGGAGATTACTTACGTATTTCATCAAAATAAAACGGATATTCTCCTGGTACGGAACAATTCAGTCTTGCTTTGCTAAACGATGTCCACTTACTTCTTGATTGATGAGGGCCGCCCTTGTCGTGTTTGCAAACTCTTGCCACACGAGAATATATTACCTGTAAACGATAATAAACAAATATAAAGCAAAGCTTGAAAGCTAATTTATACTAATTGGACTGTGATTCTAAATAAACATATCATATTTGTTTTGTGCCGTGTGTGTTATTCTTACCTTTCCACAGTTCATAAACTCCACAGCTGTCTCCCGAAAAAAGAAGTAGATGTAATCGCCGTAAGTAACTGAACTCACAAAGTTTGGAGCTGAAAAAAAAAAGTCATTTTACTCTTCAATGCAGAAAATTATTATTTCTTTTTTGTTTAGAAGTTAAATTAAATCTGAACAATACAAAATCAATAAGATAAAAAATATTTTCGAAGAGTTAATAAAATAACATGTAGAATATTAATTTAACAAAGATGAATAATATGAGCACCGTTCATCTAAATTTTATAAAATTAGCCACAAAACTATATCTTTGGAGGCTGGAAGCTCATCAAATAGGAACGTTTAAAAAAAAATCTGGATGTCGCTCTACTGGGGCACAAACCGTGCGTTCGTTATTTTGGTCTGAGTTCTCCGAGCTTGACTTTACCGTTCGTTTATTTAAAAAGTGTACTCGGTGTATCCTCATTCGCGTTCGTTTATTAAAATTTCTGGCACTTTTATACAGCGTTCAACTGCCCTGTTCGCTCGTTGGTCACGTGATTACGGCTCTGCTCTGCACGCTCTGCTCTTCGAGCAAAATACCGAACGCAAGGATAGACAGATTATATAAATATGTATCTCTATTTGATGTTTTCGAGGTAGTTCAGCAAATGAATAATTTTAATTAAATTCTGCTCATATGACATAGGGTAGAAGAAGAATTTTGTTTATCAATTTTCTTGATGAGGGTCGAGTGGGAAGCGACTGCCCCTAATAGAGACACAAATATTTTCGCATTGGAGACAGGTCCTAAATTTTTTAGCCACTCGGGGATAACTTAATAATGTTACAAATCCCATTGGGGAAATTGTAAGCACACAATCTTGCAACACTGACTGGAAAATTGGAATAGGATTCCAGCGAAGCGAATTCGAAACGAAAAAAGCGAATTATCTAGACAATTCTAGAAGTAACGACGTGCTATAAAACGGAGTCTGCCGCACCGAGAGAGAAGAACAGTAGGTAATAAATAGGATGCCAGTGTGTCAAGAAACAGTAAGTGGTGAATTATTTGGATGCAGATAAATTAATAATCGGATGATTAGTGGAACGCGAGTCGATAGTAAGCCAGTGAGTTTGGATTTAGTTTTGTGACTCGTGGCTTGACTTGAATAAAGGGAAAATACTTTTGGAAGAGGAGATTCACTTATCTGCGAACCCGCTTAAGTAACAATAGCCTAAAGAAATCCTCCACCTATATAACATGAAAAAATTATTGGTAAATTCTCTCCCATTTCTAGATCATGCAATAAAACTAAAGGCCTATAATTCTGCTATGATTGAATACACGATTTTATTCACTATTCACTGCAACAATCAACTATATGGATTGTAGAGCAACCAAGTAAATGTTAAAATTTCACAATTTTTAGCGATAAATGCGTTTACAAATTATGTATTCTTGCAACATACAAAGAAAACAATTTTCAAGGTATTTATAAATTATTATAATTAAAATGCTGAAGGTAAGACAGCGGTACCTACGTAACTATTTATATGGCTGCAAATAATTATTGCGCTGCGGCGATATCATTCATTAACAAAAACAATCTATATTAGTCAACAAAGATCTCACCTACCTATTTAAAAAGGATCTTGGCATTTGATATTTATTTAGAGATTCGACTTTTCGAGGCCCGAGGAAACTAGTAAGTATCGGGTGACCAATAGGATTATAGATTGCAGACAGTTCCAGTCTAATCCAGTAACCATATACATTCGATCATACGTCAAATACGGTAGTTCTGATTTTTTGCTGAGGTGTTTATGATGTTGGACCAATAAATAACCAAAGTTTTCGAACTCGACGGCCGAACGCAACCTAGTCAGAAGCCCAGAATAACGCGAAATTTTCGACATTTTTTCAGTTTTTCCCGTTTTTAACCCTAGTTTTTTCGAAATAACTGTTTAGTGAATTTTTAAGTAGAATAAATTTCCTATAATTTAGGACCACAACCATCTCTGTAGGTGCAACAGTTTCCGAAAGAGAGCTTTTTAAAGTTTCTCGAAACGAAGCCTGCGCGCGATGTTTCAGCTACTTCCCGATAAGATAGAAAGTTGAAATTCTCAGGGGACCTAGAACTTCTAATTTTGACGACCCAAAACAATTTTTATCCCCTCTCCTCCCCCGGGGGACCCTGGGATGGCTGCCCCTGTACAGCCGAAACGGCTGGGGTTGGAAAGTTGAAATTTTGTATGGTTGTAGAGAAAAAGTAGCTCTATCGATTGGGGGCGGGAAGCATTTTTGAAAATTTTTTAAAGTGGGAAAAATATAAAAAAACTCCTTCATGGTTGAATTCGGCAAAAACTCGAAAAAGCGATAATTTTGCGTTTTTTTTGCATTTTCAACAAGGCTACGTTCGGCTTTCGAGTTTGATAACTTGAATAATTCATTGGGCCAATATCATTAATAACTCGACAAAAAATCAGAACTACCGGATTTGACGCACGGTAACCTACGATGGCTCAGAAGGGACATGACTATGTTTTATTGTATTAAATCTCGCACTGCCAGATTCAAATACACACTGCTAGATTTAATCTCGCACTGCTAGATTTAAAGACGCACTGCGAGATTTATTCTCGCACTGCTAGATTTAAAGACGCACTGCGAGATTTAATCTCGCACTGCCAGATTTAAAGACGCACTGCGAGATTTATTCTCGCACTGCTAGATTTATTCTCGCACTGCTAGATTTAAAGACGCACTGCGAGATTTAATCTCGCACTGCCAGATTTAAAGACGCACTGCGAGATTTATTCTCGCACTGCTAGATTTATTCTCGCACTGCTAGATTTAAAGACGCACTGCGAGATTTATTCTCGCACTGCTAGATTTAAAGACGCACTGACAGATTTATTTTTGCACTGTCAGATTTTAAGATGCACTGCCAGATTTAAATCAATTACCGCTACAAGATAAGCGTTATTGCAACTCAGAGTGGTAGTATTTGCCGTGGTTTTTGGGTTCATCCATTCCAGTTATATTGACATTAGCGCCAGACACTTGAAACGTGTTTTGAAGGACTTAAAATTGTACAGAAGAAAACCTATCTACTATATTACTCCAATCCAACTGAAATATTGGACTTTATCAGGAACCAGTTAGAGACAAGCTTTCAATTACATGGATATAAATGGATGTATCTAAAATGTCTGCAAGCTGGTTTAGTAGTTCGTCGAAATACAGTAAGACTCTTACTGAAAGAATTAGATCCAGAGGGAGTGTATTTGCGCAGAAGACGACGACTGCGAAGAATGCAATATTTCAGTAAGGGGCCAAACTTCTTGTGGCATATAGATAGTTACGATAAATTAAAACCTTACGGTATTGCCATAAGTGGCTGTATTTGATGGATACTCACGTCACATTAGGTCTGTTTCTGCAGGAATCCCAAACCAGTCAGAGTGAATTTCATTGGTTGAAACTAGTTTTCTGACTGTTTTCAACTAATGAATTCGCTCTGACTGGTTTGTGATCTTTGCAGAAACAGACCTATTATATGGTTAAAAGCTAGTTATACAAATAATAATCCACGGGTTATATCTGGTTTCTTTCTAATATCTGTAAAAACATGCGGAGGATGTCCAAGAACCATACGTTCAGATATTTCGTTGACGCGTCTTTAAATCTGGCATTGCGTCTTTGAATCTAACAGTGCGAGAATAAATCTCGCAGTGCGTCTTTAAATCTAGCAGTGCGAGAATAAATCTCGCAGTGCGTCTTTAAATCTGGCAGTGCGAGATTAAATCTCGCAGTGCGTCTTTAAATCTAGCAGTGCGAGAATAAATCTCGCAGTGCGTCTTTAAATCTAGCAGTGCGAGATTAAATCTAGCAGTGCGTATTTGAATCTGGCAGTGCGAGATTTAATACAATAAAACATAGTCATGTCCCTTCTGAGCCATCGTAGTAACCCCCATTCACACGGACAAATTTACTGAATTAGTCTGGCAGTCATATATTTTTATATTGAAATTCTACATTTCTATATCCCTATAATATCTCCTATTTATTTTCATGTGTAAGCTAAGCTTGGTAAGTAACCTCGTCGTCACTCGGTATACATATTCAGGCCTATGATGTATAATTTTCTGTTATTTTAACAGCCACGTTAACATCATAGGCCTGATTATCGGACAATCCAAAAAAATCCTCGAAGATGTCCTTATACATCAAATTCTCAGAAAGTCACATGCAAAATTGAAGGTTTTTGAGAAAGCCCAGAATCGGAGTGAAGGCTCATTTTTCGTATCGGCGAACTCCGAAGGCTGAAGTTAATATTGCGAGGTTCTCTTGGATCCACCATTTGCTACATTTTTTTCTGTTAGCAAAACGGAAATGACCGGAATGAGGGTGGTTACGCAAATGGGCTTAAGAAAAGGAACTTAGTTTCTACCTTATAGGGCTGAGAATGCCAGCTAAACTCCAGTCGGGAGTGGTCGAGGGTTAAATCAGAGGAGAACTTTAGAAAATAGGTATAATTTTGGACGCCACCCGTTTTATGGCCCTAAAGTAAGGTAGAACGTTAGCTGAAAAAAACATCTAAAACGGGAAACCTAAAGGATTTCACCCAATTTGGAAATCAAACTCTGTCGTAAATAATAAAGGGGCATTTTATTCAAGTTTGCCGAGATTCACTGTAAGTACTTGATTTAGATATTTTCAGTACCTATAGGTAATTAGTATTATCAAATCGGTATTATTCAAATTAATTTAAGTAAATTAGGTGAAATTGTTGAATACTCTCTAACTAAATAAAATAGAAACAAAAAGGTACCAACGCAACGTCCTTTGCATATATGCTTCGGCTAACACGGTTGAAATATTTATAAGAAAAATTAATAACTAATTACTTAAATAAGGTGAAATATATATAACTAATTACTTGATTTATTTGATTAAGATTCAACTATAGATGATTTATGTACTAGTGATTTGGCTTTTCAGGGTGTTTAGGTCGATTCCGTGTATGTACGAAGGGCTTTTCGAGCCTGGGACGGTTAAGCTAAATTAGAACGAACCCACCTGGATATCCTGAAGTTGGTAGCGTCGGGT